TTAATGAGTTTTTAAATATTTTTAAGTCAAATGTTTTTAATAAAATAAAAATAAAATATAAAGAATGAAATGAAAAGTATCAAGTTACAACATTAACATTGCAAGAAAACTATAAACTATATATTTTTTCTAAATTTATTTAATAAAAAATTACATTTATATTGTTTTTTCTAATTTTATTTTAATTTCTTACAAAGTATTTGATTTCTCTTTTAATAGATCAGCTGTTACGTGTAAAGTTGATACAGTATCCACTTTTAAACACTTTTTTATGGGAATGTACATAGTTTGTACGTTTTTTCGATCCAATTTTCCTTCTTATTGCAACTATATTCGAAGGAAATGGAACAAATACGAGCTACTAAACAAACAAAAATATTAGACATTAAAGTAAATTATTTTTTTATTTACATATATATCTGGTACAGGTAATCTGTGTACACAAAAGGAAAGTACCTTTAAAAAAACTACTGCTATTTAATTGTTTGTAAAATAAATTTACTTACTATCCTTAAGATTAATTTTTTCAAGCCCAAACAAAGGAAATGTATTATCAGGTTTGTATTTTTTTGGCATTGTTTTTAAAGATTTTTACTTGGCAGGTAGACATATTTTACACTTTCAAATCAAGTCTCCTCTTGTACCATGGCGACCATGTTTAAAAAAAATACTCGACATACACTGAAAATAATAAAAACAATAAAAATATTCATTCAACTCTTTATGCACTTTAAATGCAAGCAATGGTTTTTACAAGTTTACTTAACCATCTAAAAATGTAAAATTGTATTGTTTAATTGAACAACAAATATTAGTCAAATGAACAAAATGAGAATATTTGTTTTAATCTGCTAATCTGGTTATTTAAACATTCTTTAAATGTCCAGGTAACCTTTTTAGCATATTCACTTAACACCAATAAAATGTAAAATTAAAATAATTTGCGCTAATGTTGGGTTAACATTCTGAAAATGTAAAAGTAACATTTTCAAAAAAAAAATTATGAAATTAATATAAAGAGAAAGAATTGAACCTTCCCTTGCAAGAGTTTTTGTTTTGAGTGCGTTCCACCTACTTCAAATACCTACCGACAAACAGCTGATTCGACCTATATTGGGGGTCTTATCAGTGTCGGGCAATTTGGTGTAGTGGAACACACTCAAAACAAACGGCCTGAGCTTATATACTTCTATCGTAAGCTAGCTGAGGCGAGATGTAAGAACATCACGTGATCAACACCGTCTAATGACGTGGCGTGGGTGTTCGAAGCGCCCTTCACGGCAATTTTATGAATGCGAAATTAACAAATTTTAAAGTAACATTTACAATTTGTTAAATGAACAAATTTAATGTTTTGTATTTAAAAAGATAATTTAATGGTTTTTTTTATTTGATTCAACCAATTCCAGCTATTAAATAAAAAAAGGATAAACATTTTAATTTAAAAAAATAGTTTATGTTAAATCAATATTTTAACTGTCAAATGAACAAATAAACTTTGACAAACTCTGACTATTGCTTTGACACCAAAATATAGATTAATCCAATAGGTTTTTTGATGAAACAACATTTTCTCTAAAAATGAATTAGTCAAAAATGACTAATTTAATAGTTATCAGTGGCTGCTTTTTCACTTGTACCATGGTTAACCATGGAATACCATGGTATCCCAAAATTTAACAGCCAATTCTTTTGAAAAATTGTCCCCTGAATCCGAAAATACTGTCAAAAATTTTAAAAGTGGAGCAATTTTTGAGATATAGTCAATTCCATATTTTATGGAAATTGACTATATTTCAAAAACTATTTTACTTTTTTAACTTTTGACGACATTTTCGGATTCAGCGAATAATTTTAAATAGCAGCCACCAATAAGTATTAAATTAGTCATTTTTAACTAATTCATTTTTAGAGAGTATACTGTCGTGTTTAGTAAGGTTTTAAGTTTTACGGAAGAGACATGTAATGTTTGTTAGTAACTTTCAGTTTTTGCTTGTTTTTTTCTTGAAATGAAAAAAAACAACCAGCTTCTTTTTTGATGTCCTTTTTATTAAAGAAAAATGATAAAGTTTTTTCTATAAATTTCGTGAAAAGTTTTGTAAGTTAAGAGAAAGGGAAATCAGTCTTATTTAAAAATACAACCAGCTACTACATTAAAGGTTTCACTGTAAACAAAAAACCTTTTACTTAAAAAATAGTAAGTCTTACTTTTTTATTTTTTTTTATAAAAAATAATATTTTTTGGATGTAGACATGTCTCGGTAAGTCGGATCCCATTATATCATACGTATCTGGACGCCTTTTGTTTGGGCAAGACATTAAAGGGAGACAGGCCAGGATAATGTGATTTTCTTTTCGCTTTTCCGCTTATTTATTTACTCTCTCGTCGTGCGCGTCTTTATTGCTTGCATCCTGTCGCGCTACTCGTCCTGCCGCTTCTCCGTCCTGCTACAACAGCGTTCGCTCTATTGTCCTGCGTGAGTTAATAAAGTTGTGTTTCAATAAAAATGACACCTGGTTTTAAATTCAAATTGTTCAGGGGTGTACGTTGTTGTTTCGCAGGAATTCTGTTCCTGCCACATGCCAGCTCTGTTTTGTATACCCCGTTGTTTATGTTTTCGGTTTTGTTTTGTTTTGCAGATTTTTAAAATAATATTTTACATGAAACATCTAATAGTTATTTATGTATCAGGGCAGTAAAGTCGTATTTTTTATCACGAATGTGGAAATTATTAGACAGCAAAATTTACTTCTCTGATGGAATAAAATAAAATGTAATACCACAAATAATGAGATTCCAAAATATACTAACTGTATAGTTATTTTTTTAAATAACTCCTACATTTCAATTTCCTGTAGACTTTATCAAATTCCTATAAATTGTAAGGAAACATATATCTTAAATTTATCAATATCAATTCTTTGTTAATAGTATATTGTAGGCAATTATTGCCTAACTCGCACCGTGTGACGTCATGTGCGAACCAAAAGCTGGCTGGTAACTGGGTTGGAATGTTATTTGCACTAAAATTCACTTTATATTCGAAAATTTAAAAATATAGGGACTCCCACCTTTAAAACGCCCTTTATCGTACATGTTTCACTAAGTGACCTTTTAAATACACATTCATAAGTTGTGGCTTTATAGCGCTTTAGTCACTGGCTGAAGTTAGCAACAGGTTTTTAGTCACGGGCTGAAGTTAGTTTTAAGCAATCGTTGAAATAAAGTGCCTTTCTTGTAAAATAATACTAAATGTGAACATTATTTTATTATCTCAATACAAAAATACAAAAGTATTAAATAGTTTCTCAACGCCAATATTTGAAAAGTTTATATGAATATTGTACTGACCTTTTAATTTCGCCGGCAGTAAACTATAACTTAAATTCGGGCACGGACTCCACTGTAAAGTGCTCTGAAACACGTTTGGAATTGCATATTCCGCTCTCGTGAAACCTTCAAACTCGCCTTCGGCTCGTGTGACAAACTCTTCACTCGAGCGAAATATGCTGTATTCCAAACTTGTTACAGAATATACTATTCTTTACTTTTACTGTGAAAAACTGTCAATATTCAAGAAATACATTTCGATTTATAACCTTTATAATCTCTGTTTATAAAATGTAAAAATTTGACATTTGACGGTGACACACAGATTCCCCTATTGTTTCATAGATGGCGCTCTATACAAATTTTTGATTTAAATCATTTTAAGATAATAATAAGTATTTGTCGTAGAAAAAGTATAGTATGCACCTCGTTTATAAATTTTTCTATACCCTCATTAATTTAAGGACTCGCTCGCAAGATCACTCGTGCCTAAATTAAATTCGTGTATAAAATGGCGTTTATCAAACTTGATACATAATATACTATTAAGCAACACTTAATTTCATACCTTCCTATTATTATTTTTCAAAATATTGTTTATTTAATTGAATTAACTTAACTTACGCTAGACCAAATTTTACATTTTTTTAATATGAAAGGTAATAAAATGATAAAAATGTATTTATACAACTAATAATTCTCAAAAGTAAAAAAAATCTCAAAACTACTTGTGACACTTTTGAAGCGGGTTTCCTATACGAAAAACCTTTAAAGTTGGGATGTATTTTTGCCTAAATTTTTAAGTAACCCTTAAAAAAATTTTCATAGTATTGGGAGTTAATTACGAGTGTGTAAAGTACGAACACAAAAAATTTGTTAAAATGCAATGTTATGTCAAGTACTTATTGTTTGAAATGTTAAATGGCAAATAAGGAATTGTGTGGTTTGAGTTTTACTTTATGAATACAATACAATATGAGCTATATGAAGGCAGAATTCTCTAAACAATTTCCTAATACATAACGAAAATTATTATACAAATTCTAAATTTTAGTTGTCTACACACCAGAAATTAATTACCTATTTATATGGAAAAGCCCTAAAACCCTAAAGTTTTAATTTGTTTCTAATAAAATAATATTTATTCTAAAGAACCCAACTAGTTAAAACTTTTAAATTGGCCTAATAAAATAGAGAATTCAAATCAAGTTGATTTAATCAACTGTATGTATATTAAAAGTAAGGTCTAACATAATATTAACATTATATTAAGTTCAACTTTCTTATTCTCATTAACTTTGTATAATTTACTTTTTTTATATATTAAATCCAGTGTTAAACAATTTTTATATAATGTTGAACAAATTATAACAAAAAACTATAAATCTTTTTATATATGGGTCGTTTCACAAAATATTTTTGTGTACAAATTTCTTAGCTTTTAGATACAAATTTCAAATCTTAAACAAAAATGCCACTGTAATTGATTTTTGAAGGTTCTTTCACTAGGTATTAATAAAGAATGAATAATTTTATTTAAAAGCAAAACTTTTTTTTTCAATAATTTTTTTATGAAACATTACTTAGGTACATTATTTAGACAAAATACCCAACAAATATTTCGACGATTTTAAATGACCCAATTTTTGTAAACGAATATTTTTTACAGGGTGCGACAATTGCCAAACTCAATGTTCCAACGAAAAATTGGACTCCAACAAATCAAACGGTAAGTCTTCTTATTATAATTTATATTTTTTTCCCCTAAGGGTTTTTTTATTTTGTCAGAATATAACAGGCAATTATCCTTCGACATTTGTCTTTGCATGGGGAGAAATTAATTTTTTCGACATGCCTACGACAAGATGAAAGCTTTTTAATATCGACATTAAAAGAATATATATATGGGTGATTCTACAAAAGTTGGGCAACTTTTGACCTCATTTTTATATAGTTTTAGGAAAAAATTAAACAGTTTTTTGGTATGAGAACATACATAATATAATAAATATTCTGTTCCAGACCGGGCCAGTCACTTTTTCAAACAGTTTCTGAAAATCTGTGTTTTCTAAATTTGAATGCAAGGGAAGTGACGAGTATACCAGGATACTAATTAAATACATAATTTATTGGAAAATATAAGATTTATTGCAACTTTGAGCATATTATACATTAAATATCTTAAAATCAAATAATTCCACACAACAGTGGCGGCTGGTGGATTTTGGGTATACCGATATCTCAATTATTAGATATGGGACCCACAGCAAATTTAAATGAGTTTATAATGACATTAAATAAACAAGTTCTGCTCAAGCAGAATTTAAATTGAAAAAGATAACCGAAACATCGAACATGGAACTGACGACACAGTACTGATGAATGGGATACAAATTTGAGATTATATTTCGGAATTAAATACTTAACTGATATTTCTTGTTAGTGGATGCTACTTATCACCAAATTACATATAGCCTTATATAAATTACAATGAAATATATATACTTAAGAAAATAACTACTCACCACAGTACTGAAATTTTGACTGGAAATATACGTGCATTCACCACAACTTCGCCGCTTGCATTGTTTTCAAGACTACTGTCGTGCAAAGGGCGGGTTCTGTAGGTAATTTTTTACCAACACTTGAGTTAAAACGAGGACTTGACGTTTAAACTTGAATATTTCGCAGGAAAAATACATTATTTAATTTTTTATAGTTTGTAGTGAAATTGAAAAATTTAAGGTAAATTGAATATATTTTAAAATAAAATCACTCAAATATTTGATTTAGGAGTTATGAGTAACTTATGACACGCCAAGGTACTGTTGTTTTGAATATTTATTATGTTTTTCTACAAACGTTCTTTTGAAAAAATACATTAAAATTTGGTGGACAAGTTAAAAAAAACTGGATCTTTTGTAATATACTAATATATTTCCAAAAAAATTTAAAATACCTACTCTATTGACTGATGACATCAAGTTGTCCAAGTTTTGTAGAATCACCCATATATAAAGAAAATATTTGTCCAGGTCCACATAACTTTATGCTAAGTAATCTTGAGTAGTTTGTAATTATAACAGACATTTTGTAGATTTAATAACAAAATTCTATGTCAATAATTCAACCATAATTCTTGTAAAGCACCTTATTTTTACAAACATTTTTGTAGATTCAGTAACAAAAGTATTTGTTGGAAATTGGAAACTTAAATGAAAAGAATTTTGATAAAGCATGTTGCTTTAATAATCAATTTCCTAAACACAAATTAACACATACCTACATAAACGAACACAAAAATAACATACACACAATGAAATAACACGCCATTCTGAAATCATCAAATTATATAGAAATTCGGTGCAATATAACTATCAGTACTACTACAATAACTATCAAGCAAATCAAGCAATATAACTATCAGTACTACTACAACACTTACTGCATGATGTATTTCGTAACTTTAACCCACTTCACTGTATCCCCCAATTTCAGTTTAAAAACCAGTGATGCATCTTTTTTTGGATACTTTGCACACTCGTTAAATAGGTATAAGAAATCTGAATAACAAGAATAACAGATTTCTGGTAATATATTATAATACTTAATAATATATAAACTCTGGACAGTTGTTACGAACACGTTACGAATTAGAATAAAGTAAGCAAAACATACAAAGAAAAAAAGGTTTAGTTAGCCCAACTATTATTTGTTTCATTTAACTAAATCTGTTGCTTATTAGAGCCAACCAAACATATAGTTATTTTAACAACCGCATATAATTTGTTACCCTTACTAGGTTAACGGCTTGGTACAACTTATCCATAGCGTTTGGCGCATTTATAAAGGTACCTAACAATAAAAATAAGATCTTGAAATATTTGGAGTAGAAACATTTTTTTAAACCATTCATTCAATTTTCTTATATTCATCAAGAAACAGGAAGATCCTTGACGCATTACTAGTATAATACCAGTTGTATTATTCTAGAAAAAAGATCCTTCACCTCGCTAGAGATAATGATTTAGTGCGTTCCACTAACTTAAAATACTTGAAGTATTGACAGCTGTTTCCACCCATTTAAGGTCTCTTTAGTATCGAACAACTTTTAGTGTCACAACAAGGCAAAGGACTACCTGAGTTTATATACTCTCCATGTCAGTCAACAGAGGCGAGATTTAAGAACATCACGTGTTCCACACCGCCTTTGCCGCGATCGGTACATACTATGCAACCAGGAATGCACGGCAAATTGTTTTAATCGTTTTAACAGAGTGCTTGAAGGTTGAAGTAACTTTTTTTTACAAAAAACATATTTAGTAAACTGAACCATACAGAGGTTAAATTAACCATTCCTTTTCTGTGTAGGTTGCGGAGGCTGAAGTCAGTTGAACTTGTTGATGCGTTTCAGTGGAAAACATTTTGATTGTTTGCCTGAAATAACGTGTACCTTTTTAACGAAATACTTTGTTAAACATTAACAAAATAATCTGTAACCCTACAAAATGCTTACAAAATTGCATATTACCTTTACAACACTTTCTGTAAAATATTTTCCTTTGTTAAAATAATTACGAACTCCGGTTTTATACAAAAAACTATGTTAACATTTTATAAAATAAAATTAACAAACTACAAACTCATGTTAACAAATCATCTATAACTGTAAATTTATTTGGCTTATAAATTAATTAAACAACTTCATTTTACTTTGATTAAATTTTTAAATTCACTTATTTTATAAATTTACGACAACTAAAAATATTAAGCTTTTACTTCTATGTAACAGAGCGGATGAACGTCGAGAATCTAGAGTGCGGGCTCGAGTTAATGTTCGAATAGTGTTGAAATAGTTAAATGGAAATTTGCGAAATGAAACTGAAATGATTGGTGGCGGTTTTAACTCGACACAGAATTTATAACCCTCCGAACCGCAGCCTACGTTCCAGATGCATGCTCTGCCCTTCCATACCATCACATCCCCCGGCCTTTTCTCCACCCCCACGCGTATATGCGGGCGGCGGATTGCTATTTGCTAACGAATTTGTATTCCGAATTATTTATTGAGATTAATTACAACTCGGTATTCGAATACCTATCGAGGAAATTAGTTTTTTTGCTGTTTGCAATCTGAATGATTTTGAGTATGCTGGAATTGGAAAAATTTGTATTGTTATTGATGGGTCGTTTTAAAAAACACCCGCCTTCCGCTGTCCGTAAGTTTGAATTCCAATAACTTTGTTAAAAATTATCGGATCCTATTGATTTAAAAACCAAGTGAAAGCCTAACAAGCCCTTAGTAAACTCTTTCAGAAAATGTTTGTTTAGTTATTTCAGAATATATTTTTTTTAATTTTAAAACTTGTGAAACACACATTTTCGCATGTCTTATTAGCGTTTTATAATTTTATAGTTTTAAAACTTACATACATGTTTTTTTTAATATTGAATAACCAGAACTTTCTGTTGCTTTATAGCAATTCATAACATCCTTAGTTAATACAGTAAACAATTTATACATAAAATAATTAATTTTAATCTACTTTCTTTAAATTTGACTCATGTCCGTCGCGTTACCGATAGAATATTTAAAAAAACATATATATGGCAACTTTTTTGGTACTCACGTGATCAACAAATGATGTTCGGACGTACACATTACCCAGCTGAATTTATTTATTCAATCAGGAAGAAGATATCGGTTGAAACAGGTGCGGGTAACGCGAATGTAATAATTGTTTGTCCGCTAAGTTACTCAAAAAAATAATAAAAATAAGGTAAGAAAAAATACTATTGTTCATGTTTATGTTTATTTTAGGGCACTTAAGCTTATTGCGAGTAATTAATGACTATAATGTCTTATTATTATTTTTTAAATATAGTTTCCCAAAACTTTTTCCACTGCGTTACCGAGTCCATTATGTTACCTTATGGTAACGCAATGGAATTTAGGGTAACGCAATAGAATTTTTCGACAACAAAGTGGATATTTACCGTCGCTTTTATTAAAAGTAGTTTATGATAAACCAATTTAAAATTATTTGTGATTACAACTCATGATGTAGTTTACATCCAAGGGAAAATTCCACGCAATATACAATTACTAAAAGGGACCTTCACCAGCTTATAGTCAAAGAAAAAGGGTGTCTACAATTAATAAATCTAAGTTGTTATTCTGCAAGTGAGCACCACTACAGGGGATTTTGTTTATGCATTACTCTTAAATCGAACCACCCTATATAGTTTCTTTTTTACGTTATCTGATTAAGTCCTTTGTGTACCTCTGTCCGTTGAAATTTCGTTACTTTTTTTAGTTCTTGTTAAAAAAAATACTTAAAATGATTTTTATACACTTGGTAATACGTGTTTATAAATTAAAGTTTAAACTCACTAATACAGTGACTAAAAGAAAATATTAATGGTATTTTTTTAACAAAGAATCGGAATGGTTTCTTTTAAAAAGTAACTTAAAGAACATACATATTTAAAAAGAAAAAATAAAATAAAAAATTGGAGTCAAAAATTTGTGAACTACTTAAGTACATTTTATTTCAAATTATTTTTATAACAACTTTTTTTATTGAATTAAGTTTTGGATTTCAAATTGGTAACACAGTGGAGATATATAAAGCTAGCTAAAAACATTTTTTTGAAAAAAAAAATTAAAAAGTGCACTGCCTGTCTTAAATGTAAGTAAACAAAACTCTAAACTTTTATAAAAATCCA